GTTTTCATCCCATATGGCCCAGAGCTGTGGAGATCAGAGTGAGTGGTTCCTGGTTTGGCAGTTGGGGTCTCAACGGCCGTACTATTTGCTTCGATGGGCTAGCTCCAATGGTCTTTGAGCCTCTTCCAGGCGTAGCTTAAACACTTGCAATGCTCTCTGGCACCTCTTCAGAGTTGACCTTGTTGTAGTGACCCCAGCGACCCCTCTGACTCTCACTTCCCAGTTCGCTTCGCCGAGGTTCACACCAGATGACACTCACTTCGAGCCTTAACTGTCCAAAACCGGCAGCTGATCACCCTCCGCCGGGGGCGGGGGGGGGGGCTCGGAAGCGACAGCACTGGTGGACACCAAGACACATGGACTACCCCTGGACCGGTGAAAGCATCCGTTGGGGCCAGGCGGTTCTGAACTTTCACCGGTGGCAGACCAAGAATTGGAACATGTACCAGGACCCTCCTGTCGGGGTGCCCTGTCTGGAAGCCTATAGGTAGTGCGGGGTAGTCCATTGGACACCCCTTGGAGGGTCCAGGTATGTATACACACCTTTTTACCCTATCAGACTGTATCAGTATGCCAGACGAAATCCCGACTGGAGTGGATGGAGCTTTTCTGTTTGCGTGCCAGTGGGTGCACCACTGGGCTTCTGGAGAGCTTTTCTGCAAGAGGGCTTCCATGTGTTGCAAGGACCGCAGTCTTTGTGCATCTTGGGGCTTCAAAAGCCATTTGACTGGCTGGAAGCGCAAACTCTGGGAGTCTTGTGTCTTGTGGGTCAAGACAGATCCATCTCTGTAAGTGTTTTGCACTGACCTACAGTATCACATCTCATTTCTCCATTGACGAGTGAGAATCGGACCAAAGTTAAAAGAACACCACATACTATAGAGGCTTTCAATTAGATGACAACGGTTTCCCATACAGTTCTTGGAAGGTATGGGGCAATCACCCCCTCTTTCGAAATGGTCTTTGTTGTCCGTTCGCATGTCAAGAACATCCATCGAATTCACTTCGTGTGGCCCCCGGGTTTTTGGTCCGCCCTGCGTTGCGTTGCCAGCAGCATCCGGCCGAGGAGATCTGCAAAGCAGCCTTAGAAGGCGGACTTCACGTCCTGGTGACCGGACGCCCAGTCGCTGATCGGGGGGCTGGAAAGCATCGCTGATCTGCGGACCGAACGGAGAGAGCGCGGATGCGCGGATGCGCGTCTCGGGCGGGCGTCTGAGCTCACGGCTCGGGAGGAGGAGGTGTTCTTTCCGCGGAGCGAAAGGGCGCAGTTGGGAGCCAACGAACCGTTTCTTTCCTCTCACAGGGGGGGGCAGACACCTGATTCCATGGTTCTAGCCAACCCACTCTGCCGGTCTGCCGGTTTTCCTCTTGGTTCGTCCAAGCAGGGTGGACCGGTGGGGCCGTTGGGTCAGTTCCTTAGGACGAAGCCGATGGTGAAGACCTTGGCACAGCACAAAGAGCTGGTGAGTTGGGGATGCCCAGCATGAGCTCGTTTCCTGGGCTTTCAGGATGGCTGAGCTCGTTTCCAGACGCTTTCCCTTCGCGTTTGGAAGAGCAGAGGGTTTCTTTTGGGTCTTTTGGTTCACTCAGATTGGACATACGAGGGGGTCGGGTGTCACCTGAAAAGCTCTGGCCGAAACGAGGGGAGGAAGCTCTAAGTAGGGCGTCTCCTTGCGGCGTTTCCTGGTCGAAGACGAATGGAAGCACTGTTTTGCATGCCTCTTTTTGGTTTCCCTTCCCTCTCCTCGACTCATCAGTTCTATTTTTCATGGATCTACCACCGGTTTGACCACCGGTTCAACCGTGGTTTCGGTTCGACGGCGGTCGGCCCCCCCGATGTCCTGACCAGACGCGGGGGGGGGGTCCAGGGCCCAGGCGTGCCATATGAAGCTCCTCACCTCATCACCTCGGTTTTTTGAGACCTGAACTGCTGGTGCACTCCTGGACTCTTTTCTGGGTGGGTCAAAAGAAGAACGAGCCAAAGAAGAGTTAAAGGCAATACACTCACAGAGCATGGGTTTCGGATGACCATGAGGTGGTGCCATCCGAAGAATATTTGAAAGACCATTCTGATGCTGTTTTCTTTTTTGGGATGTTCACTCGTGTTTTTGATCCAACTCTGAACGTATTCACACCCCGTCCCCCAGTGCATGTTTGTCTGGAGACAGTTATGCAGTGGCTGGGGCATGTTTGCCCGTATTCGAGAGCCTTGAGTCTGCTGTGGGAACACACCAGGTGTGATAAAGGAGCCAAGGGCGACTTCAAAATCCGAGGGATGACAAACCGGCGCACGGGTTGACTCGACCCTTTTCAACATCTCTCAAGCTGGAGTCTTTTGGTTTCGCGGAAGGTCCAAAAAACCCTCCAGACACTGGCAGTCCTGGCACCAGGTATCGCCAAGGCTAAGGGCGTTCTGCTGCAGATCGAGGCGGATTGGTCGGTTCGACCGATGGCGGGGGATTGGACCTGGAAAACCTGCTCGGTCGGTGTCCGGAAAAGCGCAGAAAAGAACGCAGGTCGGTGGTTTGGGTTCTTCTTCACTGACGAAACTGGCCAATCGGATGAACGCAACGGGAAGCAATCAGGGAAGGATCAATACATGTGAATAAGTTAAAGCACCCAACGCAACTTGAAATGCTTGCTCTACCAAGTGGTACGACCACGCTAAACTCGGTCCTTCGTCTGCCCGGTGCCACGCCCGGCGCGCGGGATCGCGCCACGCGAGTGCCACGACCGGCGCCGCAGGACGCACCGGCCGGTCGTCGCGGCAGGTGCACAAGCGCTTCGACCCCATCTACAACGACGCGCGGCAGCGGATTCAGAGCCTGGGCACCTTCGGGTGCGACAGGGGCGCCCGCGAGTCGCAGGACAGGAGGGAGGCGTTTTGGGGGGTTCCGTGGCGGAAGCTAGGGACAGGGGTTGGTGGTTTGGTGGTTGAAGAGGGTGGAGAAGGTGTTGGAATGCAAAGAAGGATTGGAAGTTTCAATGGCGTCTTTCACCCATTTCCGCTGGAACATCCAGGTACTTTACCAGCTTCATGTCGCAGACGGGGGCCCCAGCGCGTCTTGGGGTTGCTCGGGGGGCACCTCCTGGATAGATTGGATATGACTCATAAGGTGAAAAGTTGGGGGTCCAACCTCAAGCTGCTGCGACCTTTGTATGTGGAGATCTGCCGTGAGCGATTTTTGAGTGGCGAGATGCAGTGGCCAGCTTGTTCCTTTCAATCAGTTCCCTTCTTTGGTGGTTTCGGGGCATACAGGTACCAAGGGCTTGGCTTGACATTTGATCAAGCACTCTTTTTTTTTGTCACACCACCAGTTCCACGCTTAACTTCAAGACCCACAGACCCAGAAGAATGCATGACGATCTGACAACCAAAACCCGATAGTCAAGAGATCCACCATAAGACAACGAAAAGCTTGACGGCCAAGAGATTGCTCCCGAGATCAGTGCATGACCAAACCCCATCCCAAAATGCAGCACAGCATTTCATCGAAGCCCACACAGATCCACACAGGACCAAAGAAGTATCTTAAATATGCATATATGACTGAATATTTGTATTTCTTTCATAAAAACACGTGCGTGCTGGCAACGCATCGCTCTCTTAGCTTAATACAGGAACAGTAGGCGCGAATCGTGGTCGAACTGCAAGGAAGGGGCCCTTTTCCGTAGCAACGCCGTCGTGCCAACCAGGAACAGTGCCTTTCCAGTGTTGGTCACCGCGACCCCCCGAGCTCAACAGGATGCATCGACCAGGGCCTTGGGTGAGGATTTCTTGCCCCGAGCTGTGCCTGGAAGAGTGAAGAAGACCATGCAACTGGTCCGACATCAGGTTGCACCCTCAATCAAGGGAAGTGATCCCTCGACCCGTTCCTCACCTCCAGGCCCAAGATGCAGCTTGAGACCTTCCGCGAGTGGGTGTGGCAGCCCAATTGAAAGACGAGTCGGATGTTGGTCTCTGGCGGGTTCACTCGGTTGGATTCTGGAAGTCCTCAGCAGTTCGCAAGCTCTTCCGCCATGGGTTTTCCTGACACCCTCATCCACTGTTGAATGTATGCTGCACCAGCTGACACCGATGCCCCGACTTCGATGCTACGATTCGCTGTACGAAGGCTCTTTAGGAACACTGGCAAGGTTTGAATGTTTATAGACTCTTAATGTTCTACAATGGCTACTTCAGAGGTATTTATGTTCATTTTCAAGCGATTCTTTGTATGAATCCGTGTGAAAAGAGCTGAAGGATCCTGAAGGTGAAGGATGTCAGTTCTTTCCAGGCCACATTCTCTGTCAGAACACAGCCGGATTTTTCGCTGACCGAGTTTGCTCACATAGAGAATGGGACCAAAGACGAGTTTGTAGGCTCTTGATTCATTAAAAAGCACAATTTGGATTGTAAAACCTCTTATACGTTTATAGACATTATCATATTTCTTTACAGTGGTTTGCGGAGTCAAGGCTCGGTGCGACAGCTTCGCTTTGGTGTTTTTTCGCACACCGCGGCGATCTCACAGAGGGAGTTTGTTTGGGGAAGTTCAATTGGAGAGATCGACGTGGCGTTGGGAAACGCCGGTGGCGTTTGGAAGGGTCCTGCTGCTTCGTCTTTCTGAGTCGCCTCAGAAAGCATTGAACGGCCCGATGCAGTGGTGTTACCCCCCAAAACCGCCAGAACCCAAAAAACTGAAGACTGCCTGGTAACCAGAAGGGGTCTCCCCCTCTCGGTCCTCAAGCTGTGAGTCCTCTTGGACCTTCGGCCCTTCCTCCTGGTAGACTCAGCTCCTGCGCTCCCAACGCCGACCTCGTCCGTGCCGTGCCTTAAGACTCTTCGTCCAACCGCTTGGGCTCACTGCTGAGCTGCGTCCGACTAGACTAGCTGGGCGTCGTGAACATGGTCGAATCCACTGACCACCAGTAGCCAGTGGCCAGGTCATGGCACCTATAGGGGAAGAACCACCGAAACGCGCATGAACAGATTCCTATCAATTTGGGATGTCCATGGTCAGGTTTTGACTTGCCATGTCAGCCTACGCTGTGCCATGGGACTATCCATACCTCCAAGAGCTGGGCTTGGAGGCGGCTCAGTGGCAAGCGCCGTCGATGAAAGCAACAGGGAGATGAAACAAAGAGGGGAGGGGAGTGTAGCATATATGTTTGGAGTTGTGGCCAGTCGGACAGTCGTTTGGCCGAAAAAAGGCTCGACAAAAAGACGGCTAATACCGCGATGTGGACTGGATCGATCGTTGGTTTTCACTTTGCCAGGTGATCTCTTCAGTTCATGAAGTGATAGTATACGTTAGTTCAATTCAAGATCGGGATTGCTAGAAGAAACCCTGGGTGCCGTCATCGGATCCGGAAGAACTGGCACAGTTTTGGTGGACCACCCGAACCTGTGGGTCCGGGCCTCCGGTGTCATACACCAGAAGCTACTAGTAAAACGATGTAACAAGTGCATCGCTACGTCCGATCGCTCCGGACGAGTCGGTCGCGATGCTGGCGGAGCCCCGTTTCGTAGCGAACCTTGTTACTAGTAATGCCCTTGTTACGAACGTCGCGATGCACTTGTTCCATCTGCATGAGCCATCCGACCCTTCCGAATCCTCCGGCAGATCGCTGCGGCCAGCGCGACGGGCAGCCGCGCCGCTGTCCACGCGCCGCGCGCGCCGGCCGAGCGGAGTCGGAGGCTCGGTCCCGGTGGAGCGACGTCGAGCGAAGTGGGTTCCCGGGGGTCGTTTTCGGGGTCGGTCGTTCACCCGCGGTTCGTTTGGGGCCAGGAGATGTTCGAGTTGGGTTCAGTATCTTGATTTGACCACCCAAACTAGTTGAGATTAGAGGTTTTCTAAACAAGATTGGTACAAGACCCTCTAGATGAACGTAAGTATACCAACTCGGATTTCCACATGAGTCCAGTGCCATGGACCTGGCGATTTTGAGTTCAGTTTATCGGATATCTAGGACCTTCAGCCCCTTTCAGTACCTTCAATTGGGTAGTACTCGTACTACCCTCTATTTTTTAAAGCATCTACTTTCTTGGTGCAGCTTTGTGATGGACCTGTCTCGTTCGTTTTGGGGTCCTAGTTCTTCTCTTTCATGTACTCAGTTTCTTTGATCCTGCCCTCACCCACGCACCCCACGCACCCGGCTCGGCACTTCGGGGCCACTGCGGAAGGCCCGTGGTCACCCGCTTTGCGCCGTCGCCGACGGGCTACCTCCACATCGGCGGCGCGCGCACGGCGCTCTTCAACTACCTGCCGCCCGGCCGACGTTGGACGTGGGGGTGCGGGATGGGCGCGGTCCTTCGAGGGGGGTCTTGTCTTCAGCAGTGGGATTTCGGTGAAGTGGAAGTAGTTTTTGTACTCCAGGTGGTGAATTTGTCAGAATCCTGGTGCAGAGTCCCCAAGGCAAAGAACCACAGATGGGGGGGATGGAGCCTGTGGAGGAGACGGTCTTGGGGCGATGAAGATCTTCTTGATCTGGGAGGCCACCATCGTTTGAGGGTCAACATGTACCACTTCAGTTGTGGACACGGGGAACGTAAAGCCCACTTGTTCCGATGTCAACGACATTTCGTTGGATCCTTGAAGAGCTCAGTACAGTCCGTCTACTGCAGAACCGTGCCACTCGACTCCTTGAACCGCCGGGCCCACCCAACTCCGAGACACGGGGGTGCTCTCTTCGGCTCCCGCGGAGGTTCGCGAAGCATCACGGGGGGCAGTTCCTGATGCGCCGCGCGGAGCGCACGAGAGGGCCGACGGTTCCGACCCGTTTCGACCTGACCGCGCCGGCGGGTGGCGAATGAAGGGACAAGTAGGGAGATATTGCGGGTGTGTGATGCACTTTGTGCGTCATTCCGATCGCCCTTTTGCGTGTCTCTGGAACTCGGGACGGGTGCTGGCACAAACGTTGGACACATCGGTCGCGTCATCGCCCGAACCCGCGATGCGCACCTCCCTCTGCGTCCGCGACCGGGGTGTCGTGCGCAAGACCGCAAGACCTTGCGGCGCCCTCGTGCTGTCCTTCGGGTCGCTATAGACGCCCCACAAAGGAGAGTGCCCTCGACGCTGACACCACGTCCTATAGATGGTTTGTTTGAGCTGGTCACCAAAGACCTCCAAAGGTCGGTTGACATCTGTCGTCTCGGTCGTCCCTACACCCGTTCATCCGAAGGCATCGAAGACACAGATCTGGAGCGGCACAATGAGGCCGCAGTGGATGCGATCCTGCCCCTGGGCAGCCATTGCTGCGATGGGGACGCCGGAGGACACACGGGGACGGTGTATGAAAGGGAGGCCAAGCGCAGGAGAACGTGGAAGTGGAAGAATGCTCAGATTTGGATGATGAACATGGGCTCTACGACCGTTAGTGGTTTGGTTTCACCACTTTTTCTCAGATTTGGGGCTCCGGCACCGGAGCGGCACTCCGGCACGGGAGGGGCACAGATCGGTGGAGGGTGGATCGCTTGTGGGGCCCCTTTCGTTCGGTCGTGGTGCATCGTGTGGTGCTCTTTCCCTCGTTCCACCTGAAGGCCACTGTTGTGGGTGACCTATCCCACGAATTCTTGAAAGTTAGACAAGGAAACACTTGGCGATTTGCAGGGACTGCTCCCCTCAGGACTGGGTTCTTTTGATTGCCTTCGAAGTAGACCTGCAACCTCTTTTTGTTGGCGCTCTGGGTTTTTCTGTCTGGGTCCAACGGCACGCGACGCGCTTGACCGGCGCGACCAGGCAGGGCATGGCCTGGCTGGGAACCCCTCACGACGGGCAGATCGTGCGTCAGCGTGAACGATGCGGAGAGCCGGGCGGGAGCGGAGGGGGGTGGGTGGCGGGAGGTTGGACTGGGGATGGCTTTGTGCAGCTGGTGAATTTTCCAGGTGCCTATTCCAACTTCAAAATGGCACTCAGTCAATGGAATCCAAACAGCCAGAACATTGGCGTATTATTTTTTTTCCCAGTGTAAAAAAGGTTCCTGTGTGTGTTTTGGAGCTGCTGCCAATGCAGGGTGCAGTCCAGAAAAGTTTTTTGCATGTTTTGATCTATGCTGGTGTAATGTTTGCTTCGCAGGACGCCACAAGGAGGTGGCCATGGAGCTGCTGAAGAATGGCGGAGCCACTCAGCGGATGGTCCTGCAGTGGGTGCCCTTCATCCGAGAGGGCGTTGGAAGGTTTCATCCGAACAGAGAGGGTGTGGAGGGTGTGGATGTTGGTCCAAACCAAAGACCCATCTGAAAAGTCAGGTCAAAACGCTTCACCAGAGGGAGTCTGGGACTCTGTTGAACATCAATGCACCCATGCAATCTGCAGTTTGGAACCTTTCGCTCGTGCTTGTGGGGTCAACACCACACTCCCCCTGGCAAGCAGCGTGAGCCGTTACTTCCAGGACAGCTTCGATCCCTATTTCAAGCGCAGTGGCAGTGTGAGGAGAACAGCGGTCAGGGTGCTTATTCTTCACACGGCTTCGAGCATGTCATAGAAGAACCACTTCATTGGAACCAGAGAATCATCTCATGCACCGTTCAACTTGGGGCCCGGAGAAAGCGGGCAGGTTCGCTCGTTGGGATGCTGAGGCCTACAAGTGCTACTGTTCCAAGGAGGAGTTGGAAGCCATGCGGCAAGAGGCATTGATCGTCAGAGCGGAGGAGCAAGACCGTGGCAGGGCGACGTAGCGTTCGGAGGAGATGCCAAGACAGGACGACAGAAGCAACAGATACAACCAGAAGGTATCTCTCCAGCTGGATTTCTTGAACACAATGGGTGACTGCGTAGTTCGTGTGCTTACGATCACATGGGGCCAACTGGTAGACATGTGTCGGGGTCCCAACCCAAGCAGAATCATTCCGTGTTCAAACGATTTTAAACAGCGGAATCATTCGTCAGGCCATCCGCTGGTCTTCCAGTGGTCCCGGGACCACTCCGTGACCCGCGTGCGCCGCTTGCCGGCAGGCGGAGACCCAGAAGGTGGCCTTTCGCTACCCCGGCAAATGTCGGGGCCTGGGTGGTTCGCCTCGTGCTGCGTTTGGAAAGGTCAAACTTGGAAAGACTAAAGGGTTCGCCACTCACCATGATTAGGGGGGAAGAGAAAGAACAGGAGAATTCCAGGGCCGTCTGGAAGCAGTACTTCTGCCCGAAATGCTCCCTTGCAGCCATGAGATCGAAGCGTTGTTCGCAGCGAGGCCGACGGCTGCCGCCGGATGCCTGCCCACCTGCAGGGCGACAGCCAGTGGTGCGGATCAAGACGCCTGAGGATGAGGGCTGTACCAGCTGGAAGGAGCTGTGGCTCCAAGAGTTGGAGGTGGAAAAGGCTTAACCGGTGGATGAGGAGAGAAGACACAGCCTACCTGGGCAAGTTTCGCAACGGAGTAGTGATTCAGGTGAAAGGTGGGAGTTCTGGGATGTCCTGAGATTCTTTTCTCAGTCGGATCCGGTTGAAGGACAGGACGACAGGACTAGATGATGCAACAAGGAGAACACGCTTCTTTTGCCATCGAAAGGGGAAGCGGGCTCGCAAAGTAACAGGGCTTGAGTCGGGCTTGTCGGGCTTGTATCTTCTTTTCCACCTATAGGAGGTGATAGAGGTGATTTTTGGGACTTGAAGAGAGAAGACGCAGCTGGTTGGACAGTCGCATTCTGGGCCGTTCGCCCCTTCGTCCTCGCCCCTGGTGCTGTCCATCCCGATGTTGGACGGTCTGGGGGTCGGTGGGGTCGGTGTGCCACAAACCCATGAGGACGGCGTCATGGGTCTCATCGAGATTCCGAACAAGGATGTCGACGACTTCATCATCCTCCGTGTCTTGCTTGGGTGGGGCCCAGGTTCTCTTGGGCATCGGATCGGGCCTGGAGCACGTGGAAGTCGGAGCATGGTCTGGCTGCCACTTGCCGGACCAAAGGATCGGTCCTGAGTCGACCACCTCGGAGAGTTGGAAGTGGATGGCAGCTCAGCAGGGACGGTGGCAGACATGAAGAGCCCCTGCTTCAATGATCAGCCCTACTTCTTCAGAGAAGTTCCACACTTCTTTTCTCACCATCTCTTGGTCAAGAACCGAATCTTAGGGGGTTAGGGCGGCCTCTTGCGCGGGCGACCGGCTTGTGCCATCCACATTTTGGCCCATGATTTTTCAGGGAGATTAGAATGTTGACGATTAGAATGTTGGTCCAGGTTAAGATCAAGAGCTTTGAGTTGCTGATGTGAGAGCCGGAACGCTGATGTGAGAACCTGATGTGAGCTCGACCTGCTCTCAAAAAGGCCAGGCCTGCTCTCAAGGGCTTAACATCACAGTAGGCTCTCAATGGCAGGGTTGCAGATTTCGGGCAGGAAGACATCGTTTGCGCGAAGGAACTCCTGGAAGGAGTCCAGACTCCTTCTCTTTGACATATATAGGTGACATGTCCAAAGCCCACATCCAACAGATGTCCGTGGACCTTCCAGTCGGCGCGCGCGCGCGCGCGCGACACGTCACCGACTGAGGAGCTGATGAGACACCGACCTACTTACTGGCCGTGGTGGTGGACGACCATGACATGGGCGTCACCCAGGCGAGGGGGGGATTCGACCACGAAGAGAGGAGTTGGTGGGGGGGCGGAGCTTGAGGGGCGAGCTTGAGTCACTGAGCTGTCATTCTTGTTGGATCATGGAGACTTCCCACCAGAATCAGAAATGATACTAATTAGATGATGGATGGGAATGTCTGGTCTGTTGTGTCGGCAGGTCCTTATGCAACATGCTTGTGAGATTTCTGACGTTGAAAGCGCGCCAAAGATCAGGCCGAAAAGAAGCACACCAAACGGTTGACACTGTTTCCATGTTAAATCCTTTTTCTTTTGAGCTCGTCAACAGGAGAAGCGAGTTTTCGTGCTTCCGAGGATTAATCGGACCCTGGCTGGCTGAGGGTCCGCGATTCTTAGGGTTCTATGTTTTACATTGGTTGGATGCTTTCCCCAGCATCTCACTGCAGTCCTTCCCAATAACGCTCCTACCTGGAAACCCAAACAACATCAAACAACCAGAAATAAATGGATGTCTCAATATGGCAATTGAGATCCTTTCATAACGAGTGGTTGTTTGTGGAAACATCAATTTGTTTTTGGTTGTTTCAGTTTCCAAGTATGCTCCGTGGCATGCACAAGAAAAAACACCTGGCGAAGCCCTGCGAAGCCTATGACACCCTGGCTTGGAGGAAACATTTTTTCCCAAGATCCCAGCCAGTTTGGTGTCTATGTTTGGGCTGAGTTTTAGCCAACCAGTCAAGACAGCTTAGCTTGAGTTTCAAGCCTAGTGTTCTGACGAACCTGGCGATGTTCTTCCAAATACCGTTGATGGAGAAAGTTCTCATCACTTCATACCTCGCCCACAAGCCAATAACACTGCTCGTCCTTTCGTTGGTGGAAAGCGACCAGTCGTGGAAACACCAGGGAAGCACCAGTCTCAACAGGAACCGTTTCCCCCGGTTCTTTGCCCTCCAGCTCAACGGTTTTCTGACCTTTTTCGACCGAAGAAAGACCCACCCCGTGCGACGCTGCCCCCGCAGCCGCAGCCAGTGCGGCAGTGCAATGCGGGCGCCGGCACAGGTGATTCGGGGCTCCGACCACATCGGCAACACTGCCCGGCAGATTGCGGTCTTCCAGAACATGCCACTGAGAATGCGAGAATGCGATGTGTGCTTTCACTTCTTCTCCTTTTTTCCCCAAACAGTTTACTGTTCGGTTCTATCTTAGAAAAAAGAGCTGGCCACACTGACTGGCCGCGCCCCTGAACTCTGTGGCTGCTGGGCTCTGTGGCCCGGCTCTGTGTCCGGGCCTTGTCCTCCTCTTGTCCTTGTCTTGGCCGCGCCCCTGAACTCTGTGGCTGGTCGACATCGCTATTTGTTCGGCCACACTCCTCTCCAGTAAGCCGGGCCACAGAGATGCCGACAAAAATCATTGATGAAGCATTTTGCTCTTGGGGGGAGGGTAGGGCGTACCAAGAAATCGCTTTTTGACTAATATTGGTCCAAACGAATCGTTTTGAAGCTGTTTGGGGTCTATGCTGGTATAGTTGAAAGGATTTGACGTTGTGGGGAACTTCCCTATCAAAGGACACCAATTGCGCAAATATGTCGTCAAAATGATGGACAAAGTAAGCAAGGCATTAAGCATTCCCCGGCAAAATTTAAAAAAATGCACATAATGATGGGCACTTACCGTAGTGAAGATCTGGAAGTAACCTTGCACTCGTGCGGATACTTTGCCAATTTAATATGGATAGAGGAGAGGGGTTCAACCACAAAACAAGTGCATGCACATATCACTCGTTAACCTTGGGAGATTCTGCTACCTGGTCGTGATTTCGAAAGTCCCAGCTCGCAGCCAGCAAAGCCATGCTGTAAGGGTTATTTTGGGCTTGGCTTTGGTGCCGCACATAGCTTGGAACAGGGTTGACTTTCTAAAGTATTCCCGAAGCACAGGCCCCCTGTCAATAGTCAATAGTCTCAATGATCACTTTTCTATTTTACGTTTCACCACACTCCATTCTGGCCTCCCAACTCCGGCCACACACCCAGCCCCAACGGCGTGACAACCCGGGTCTAATCCGGTTTTCCCTCTCGTCGCCGTCGGGGCCTGAAGCATCTCGCATCTCGGTCTGAGGAATTGGGAGCTTCCAGACTTTGCACATCTGCCCCTGATCCACGGCCCCGATGGGAAGAAACTCTCGAGCCTTAGACGAGTTGAGACGAGCCTGCGACTTCTCGGCCTCGGCGCGGCCTCGGCGCGGCCTCGGCGAGCGAGGAGAAGGTGCGCGGAGGAAAACGCCGCAGGGCAGGTGCGCCAGCGCGATGGCGACAGCGATGGGAAGCTCTTGTTTCAGCTTGTTCCATCTCTAGCCTAACTAGCTGGGAACTAGGCGCCATGGTGGGTGGCCAGGTGGCGTTGCAGTCATCTATGTTGTGATGAATATGATCAATCATCGTCCTAATGGGTTGTTTTTTTTTTTCAGTGTTTGTTGGGGTGTGACTGTAAGGTGTGACATGCACAACTGTGGCAAGCGACATGTCGGTGCGGCTATGAGTGTCTTGCACCATTAAACAGTGCCTTGTTGTTTCACACAAGTTGGTGGCGATGTTGTTTACAACATGTGGCTTGTGGTTTCGGAACAAGACCTGGACATCATCCCAACCGGAACCCGCCAAACACGGTACAATCAGAAGGGTGTTCCCCATCTCAGGTGGTGTTTCCCCGCATCGACTGGCGAGAACATGCGAGGGTTCTTTGCAGCTGCACCCCCATCCAACCCCCACCTTTTTTCATCTCTTTCTTCCTCCCCGCACCACGTGGACCGACGACCCCCGGAGGTACTTCTCCGCGTCTCCAGTTTGGGTTGGGTCACGGTGATCAAAGCCACGGGGGGCCCCGGCCGTGATCTGCCGAGCTCCCAACAGCCTCCGCCGAGGAAGCGCCATGGGGCCACGGGGCTGGAGGAGTTTGAAGCGAAAGGCCGGGACCTCCGCCGAGTCTCCGCGGACCGAATAACCGAACGTGGGGGGGGGTTTGGTTGGGGGCGTTCGGGGGGACCGGGGGACCGGGTTAAGCTGGGGGGGAGGTGGGACCGATGAGGCTCTGGAAGGTTGATGAGAAAGAGGTGATTCGGCCTGGATAGAACGGCTCCTGCTTGGATTTGGTTGAGGTTTGTGAGGTCCATCCTGACGCTAGCCATCGAAAAGCGTGATCCTGGATGTGAGAAGCATCCCTTTCTTTTCACCAATGGGGTGTTCGCTCTACCAACTGGAGCAAGCAGCGCAGCTTTTACTGGCCCGTCGCCCAGTTGAGTGGCGGTTTGATGTGCACGCCAGGGGCCCAAAGGTGTGTGGAGCCCTTGTGCAAGTACACTTAAGATGCCTTGAGCTGTACTGTTTGATTGCATTTGCAATTTGTTGATGGACAAACTATCCAGAACACCACCGGTGATACCATCTACCTTTACACGAGAACAAGTACAGTATCATCAGTTATCATCCTCACTCCCTCCCGCTTTCACGTCTCCACTCTCATCTCCACTCCCATCTCTCCACGAACGGCGTGCGGCGTGCCCCCGTTTTCACCGAAGCCGCGGCGTGCTCCTCGTGCCTGGCGCGGCGTGCACAGTCTCGCTCGCGGGGGGGGGAGAGAAGACGGGGGGGGGAGCACGAGCACGGGCCGCGGGGCACCGCCCTGGGGCACAGAGGCTACCTACCGGAGGCGATCCGAAACTACCTGGCGCGCCTGAGCTGGTCCCACGGCGACGATGAGATCTTCAGCACGAAGCAGGCGCATCACGCGGCAGCGACGGTGGAAGGGGCGTGGGAAGGATGGGCCGAAAAGGAGGGGGTGGAGCTCCGGGAAGGGAGGCTGTTTGTACATGTTTGTACCAAAATGGCCCTGATTTTGCGCGAAAGAGTGGTGGGGATGGGAGACATCAGAAGAGAAGAAACCTTTTTCTCCTGTTCTCGAACTCGGGCCTAGTAGGGATCCACCATGGAGGTCACCTTTTCTGGACATCGGGGTCAGGATTCTTCGGTCAGATGTAGCGGCACCCATGGACAGTTGCTGATGGGTTCCCGACGCCCTTGCTTGGTACGCGATGCCCTTGCTTGGCACGTTCGTCACATTTTTCCCGCCCTTTTTCCAATGGCCTTTATTTATGAAGCGGACCAATCATAGAGTTCTTTAAACTGCTTGGCGTCGCTGGTAGCCACAGCGGGCTTCTGGCCAGGCCGAAGCAGCAAGGATCAGCGGTTCTATTTGTATCTCATCATGCTTCAGATAAAACACCACCTGGACCAGATGGACCAGATCCTGATATGATACAACTAGATCCCTGATATATCATTTTCAGAGCCCCAAAACCTACCGGTGACCCTCCGACCAGGCTGTGTGTATTGGCGGGGAGATCCTGGAGTAGGGTGGGTCGTCTGGGGTCGTCCAGCCAGGGTGGTGGTGGTGCCGCCAGAGGGGGGGGTCAATGGAAGAGGCATAGGGAACGGTCACCGGAACTGCATGGACAGACATCATAGGGTCGTGGCATGGACAGCTGTGTTCTTTCTCCAATTCTTTGGGATTTTTCCTCGGCTCCGAGAGTCTCGAATTGAGGCCATCGAGTGGTTCACGCTCTCCGCCTGCTCCCGAGGAGCGAGCCTTCCCGAATCGGGGTCGACCCCGTGCGACACCGCCGTTGGCCGTTTGGGGGTGGCCGGACCGAGCAGGGGGGGAAGAGTTCGGGCTTCAAGCGGGCTTCAGAGCAGACCAGGACAAATCATCCATGTCCAATCTTTCTTTCCAAAGCAACCACATATTCAATTTTCGTCTTTACAAAGTCTGACTCAGAGTCCAGTCGAACTGCTTTCTTGGCAACAGTCGAATTGAGACAACAACCACTTGGCACTGAGTCGCGTGACTTTTGAGGTATGGGAGATGCACAGACTCCAATAAAGACAAATAAAGACAAGGTTGAAGTATGTTGAAGTTAAGGGAAGTTCGCATTTCAGTCGCCAGTCTTTGTGAAGGACCACCCCAATCCAGAATTACCTGGGATTGTTTGCGAAAACTAGCCCCATCAAAGCTGCAATTGACAATAGCCATAGCGCATCCCTTTCTTGGCATGATTACAGTGGCAGTGGGAGCACATCATGGGCTATGGAACTACTGTGAGTTCATTCCACAATCGATGGGTTCGGGATCTCTCACGGCAGTGCGGGTCTTTTTCATCATCCGTAAGGGTTTGCCCTAGGGTCGAGGATCATCACTTGCATCTCCGTGGACCAAGAGTCACCGACGGCCAAAGCATTCCAGCTTTTGGTGATTGAGGTTTTCGAACATGTTGGGTTGGTTCAAAGATTGGAGTTGGCATCTTCTGGGATGAATATCCCCGCAAGTGTGGGTGTGCTGCCAACACGGGTCGGTCAGAGATCAGCAACGCCCGATATCAGCCAACCCCCACGTTGGAGGCAGCCAACTCTCACGTTGATGTCATCCTGACCAACTGAATGTGGAATTTTAGCCTGCCTGCAAGCTCTAGGTATGCGCCTGGTTGTTAGATTCGAGTGTGGGGCCTTCCCTTTACCAGGTCTTTGGCTGTGAGGTTGGAACTCCTTCTCCTTCTCCCTCTTTCCCCCGCTCTTCCCTTGCTGGTCCTTGCCGTGCCAAAGCCCAAAGGTTTGCAACCCTGTTGAGTTTTCGTCAGGTCGCCCGCTCGTTGGGGCTTGCTGGACCCGAGTTCATGATATGTCAAAGCAAAGGTGCAAAGTAAATGCAGAACACATGTTGGAACAGCGAACGGTTCAAAAACCTTGGCCGCACGGCAGAGAACCGCAGTGCGGGGTTTAGCGTCTCAACACATGGAACAAACCGCACAAACCGCACACGGCAGACTGATCACTCAGACACCTTGTTGACCTTGGGACTTTCGGAGTGGTCCTGGCAGGAGGGGTGAACACTTGGCAGGAGCTCCTTGCTTCGACTTTGACAAGTTGAATGGCCTGAACCAGCACTACATCAAGGAGGCACGGTTTGGATCGTAAGTCTATCGAAACCGAAACCAACACCTGTTATCACAAGTCTATCGAAACGGATGGGTGCTGTTGAACCAACCTACTGCCATGATTTGGGCATACTGCCCTGCCACCCGTGGAGATCTATGGACGGTGTGTGTCGAGTTTTTCAGCAATGGTTTGTGGAATGGTTGTGTGCTGCACCCTTCAATCTTGAAACCCTTGGTGTTTCCTTTTCGTCCCTTTGCCAATGAAACCCGTTTGGAACGCCTTCAAGGCCCGTGCACACCAGGCCTGGGGGGGTTCGTTGACGTATTGACCACTTCCGCGTGTGTGCGGAGTGGCTTGCGGGGACGGGTCCATTCAGCATGGGCCCCACAAAGGCTTCTACGAATCGAACTCCTTGGTTTCATGAGTTCGAGAGCTTGGGTGGTACTAATCCCCTTTCGTTTTCCAACCCAAGAAACCCACCATCCGTACTTTGGTATGTTGATATCTATAGCTATACTATTCACCTGGAAGGACATTCACTTCGAAGGGATTTCTACTGCTCCTTTTCCTGCAGCTCTCCAAAAACAACAGAACCCCGTGACCACGGACGGCGACCAGGCGACCAGCTCGTCCACGCCAGGCAGATGCGGGAAGGCTCTACGAGATCGTGGAGAAAATCTTTCCCGAGGTGCGAACGTTCTGGACAGACGTGTGTGGCAGAGTCACTTTCAGATCTTTCAGAAGCACCAAAGACACCTGTGAAGACCATGGTGCTTTTTGGGGGTTTGACCATTTTCATGTCTAAAGCCGTATAGTGCTATGTTTGTTTCCGGGGTAAAAGAAAAGGGTCGCTCGTGTTTCCTGGAGCTCGCTACCCAGTCGTGGCTCGGATCCCATGGGAGCCGGCGCCAAGCGCATCCGCACAGGTCGGTTCGTTTCAACGAAGCCATTTGCATGGAAGCGGAAGCTGCTGTTTCTGTTTCGGGTTTTACATGGTCTTTCAAGGGACCATGCCATGTTCGAGTCAGAGAGTGACGGTATTGCTATAAGGTTCCAGGCCGTCGCTAGGTGACTATGTCTTTTTATCCTTTTTTATCCATGTGTAAGACAAGGGGGTCTTCAGCGATCTTCTGGGCCCCAATTCCCGCCCCAGTCGGCCTCAAGTCACTGACTTGGCTGGCAATCAGAAAACCACAGGGATGGGTGCCCGTCTCATGTGGGAAGAGTTGGAAAGCAGCTTCGTCTCTCCCACGGGCGGAGGAGACACCTGAACCCTTCCAGCTCACACTGCCTTTCCTCCGTCTTCGACCCGACGGGGACGGCACGTTTACTTGGGCGTCCGAAGGTCATTGAACGGAGGTCGCTCAGAAGGTATCTGAAGAGGCCAAGACCCGAAGACTTGAAGAGGCCAGCATAGCTGGTTAGCAGGGTGTGTACCCAAACACCCAAGTGGCAAGTGGGATCCTATGATACGATCTCACTGCTTGGGCGGGAGAACTCTTGAAGTTCCGATCCTCCTTGCTCCTCTCGAATAGCAAGGTCAAGGCCTTCGAGCAGAAGTTCCGCGACCCACGGGTGGCCAATATGCTGAAGGTCCGCGCCAAGACGCTCATCGAGTACAAGCAGGCACGTGGAACAGGGCGGGCTGGTGCTTTGAGTATATCTGGGTACCATTGTATATAGTGGTCCCCAAAGATAGAAATGGTTTCCAATACATTTTTAGTGAGGAGTGGGGATCTACTTTTCTATCTAATTGGGGGTCTTTATATGTCCACATTGCACAAGCAGAGGTTTGGGCTGCACAATTGATGTGTGGTGACAGGAAACTCTGTGGGACTTCAGGTGAGCATGGCCTGACACAGCTGTGTCAGATGAGCCTGGCACCTGGATGAGCTTTTCGACATTCAACCGAGCTCTTGGAACTGTCCCAAAACTATGCGAAGATTAGCTGGGGTGTTCCCCACCCAAGAGAAGTCCAGCAAGAAGAATCAGTGCGATTTCTGTGTTGTTCTTGTTCTTGTTGTTGTTGTTGTTGTCGTTGTCGTGGTCGTGGTCGTGGTCGTAGCAGCTAGCACTTATTCGCTCCTTTCTCCCTACCATCACGGCGGCGCGGTCAAATGGAAAACTCTCAGATCGAGGACCCCACCTTTGATCACTCCAGAGCGGACCACCCGTCCTTTGATGGCCGGGCTATCAAAAATAAAAAATATATCAAAAAGAAAATTTCTAGATCCTATCAAAAAGAAAATCAATTGTATCAAAAACAAAATATCTCTCACAAAGAGCTGTGCCTGCCACTGCAAACTGCCTTGGCAGCGCTGCGCGATGTGAATCTGGATGTGCAGATTTCGTGGCACGCGCAGCACTTTGAGCATCTCCAGTAGCAGATTTCGTGGCAGGAGCAGCACTTTGTGCACTGGAACTGCAGATTTCGTGGCAGGCGCAGCACTTTGAGCACCTCCACTAGCAGGTTTCGTGGCAGGAGCGGCACTTTGTGCATTGGAAGTGCAGATTTCGTGGCAAGCACAGCACTTTAAGCACCTCCAGTAGCAGGTTTCGTCGCAGGAGCGGCACTTTGTACGCAGCACTTTGGGCACCTTCAGTTGCAGGGCTCGTGGCAGGCGCTGCACTTTGTGCACTGGAACTGCAGATTTCATGGCAGGTGCAGCAACCTCGCGAGGCTAACAACAAGTCTGCAATGTTGGAATGGTTCCTTCCTCTTCAAAATTTTGCCCTCAGGTGCCTCACAAAAGGTTTGCTACCTGGGAATGGCACTTTCTTCGTCTAAATTCTACCATCAGCGATAAAAGGTCTGCTACGGTGCTTCACAGGATGTATGACCAGATTTCCAAATCACCTTGAACGCGTCTTGCCTTGAAAGTGCAGACCCAAGGACCCGAAGACCAGGACGAAGGACCAAAGGACCAGAGGACCAAAGGACCAGAGGACCAAGGGACCAGAGGACCAAGGGACCAGAGGACCAAGGGAGCAGAGGGACCAAGGGACCAGGGGACCACACCAAGAAACCAGGACAAAGGGACCCAAAGACCAAGCGACCAGGGAACCAGCAGACCAGGACCAAAGGAGTAGGGGGAATTCTATTTTTGATACGAATTAATGTCTTTTTGATAGGAATCAATTTTCTTTTTGATAGGAATCTTTTTTTGATAGGTATCCCTCCTTTGATTCCTCGGAACCTCTTTCATGTCGTGGATGACTCCACCCGTCGACCGTCCGACGCCATGGACAGCTGCGGCGTCAGGAGGAGCTGCGCGGCCACCTTTTGGAAGCGGCTCGAGCAGCCGCGGCCCAACGATGAGAGAGCCGCAACAGACACCCACACGATGTAGTTGCAACCGTCAAAGACCCAGAACACCCCGCTCCATTCTTGGTTGTGTCACTGCTAGTTCGCGCAAAAACCTCTACTTATGGTGGGGGATGTGCTGTGAAGGACGGCGTGGCGCCCTGCCTCCTGTCCTGCGAGCAGCGCCTGAGTTGTGGTTTCGTGACTAAGGCGGTGCAGTTGCTTCCGCACAGCTCCCAGTTGAAGTAGCGAGAGGTCGTGAGGGGTGTTTATATAACGCGCCCATGTTTTACTACAACAGGGTATTTCATTGTGCACCCTACAGAAGCGTTCACCGAAACTGGGATAGATGCACGCGACAGGGATGCGGGCAACAGATTCACGCGGCTTCGATATTCTGTGCGGAATGTGCTTCTTTTGTCAATTTAGGAGGATTCTTTTGTTGACTTCTGCGCCGCTTCGCGTACGGGAATCCCTCACCTTTCCAGCATCTGACAGCAGTGGGGACTACAGTCCTGCCGCGGCGTTTGAAGTCACAATGGGATGGTGGAACTCGACCTCTCATGCTCCCTCATCCTTCCTTTCAGCCATTCTTTGCGCTCCGTTTAGCTCCGCCTGCAGTCGGATGCCGGGCGAAGTCGAACTGGGCACTGATGAGTCGGCCGGCAGGAATTCTCACACAAGTAACGCTCCTTTCGCCAAACCCTTTGAGGGTTGAGAAGCCTTGCTCTTGACCCAAACTCCTTGTCAAAGACCTTCCTGCTGTGCTCCGACCCGCCTGCCTGGCGCGCGACCAGGCGCGACGAGACGGGCTTGGGGCATCTTCTGCATCCGCCCAAATTGCACGGGCCTAGACCCCAAACAGCGTCAGCATTTTTGGTCGCCGTCGGTGTCAACTCCGAAAATTCCAATGTTGGTGGAAACGATTGCAAGTAAAGTGATGGGCTACCCGGCATATGTCGTGCGAAGATCCGCTGGTGATATCGCATTTCGATCGCTGTGTCACTGTTGCATTCATAGCCGCCATAGCCACGTGAAAACATACCCAGACAAAGTGGAGAAACAACGTGGCCGTGCAGGGGACAAGCCCCGCGTGACGTGGTGATAAAAGGGCCCACCACGTGGACAAGCAGGACAGGCAGTCCTGGACAAACGACAAGAGAAGGACAGGGGGTTGCACGCGGACAGCGGGGAACACCAGGTGAACGCACAGGATTCGAAAACGCGGTCACAGGAAGTAGGAGGAACACACGGGGCTCGCAAGCAAAGGACAAGAGGAGGACAAGAGCAGGACAAGAGGAGGACAAGAGGAGGACAAGAGAAGGACAGGAGGAGGACAAGAGAAGGACAAAAGGCAACCAGAGGACGACAACAGGACTAGAGAAGGAGAAGAGGAGGAGAAGTGGACCGAGCTGGGGTTCAGGGGTACGGCCAAGAGGAGGACAGGGACTGGACACGGAGCCCAGCCACAGAGGACAAGAGGACGACAAGGCATGAACGCAGAGCTGGGCCACAGAGCCCAGCCACAGCCAAGAGGAGGATAAGGCCTGAACACAGAGCCCAGCCATAGGGACCAACCACAGAGTTCAGGGGCAACAAGAGGAGGCTAAGGCCTGGATACAGAGCCCACCCACACAGCCCAGCCACAGAGTTCAGGCCAAATCTATACGCTGCCACGGGTTCCCAAAACGTGACTGCAAGACTCCCATGGACTAAGTTAACCCAGCAACTTAGGTAGGTGAATTTCACAAGAGCGAGATCAGCCATTCTAATCATGATGTACTCTGGACAGCGCAAAAAGTACTTCACAGCCACATTACTAACAACCACAACCAGGCCAGGCAAACTTTTTGAGCTCCCTGCAGACGGCTCCCAGCTCAGCCCGCTTCATGCGGGAGTCGGCCACCTCAAGAAAAGAAACAAAGCTAACAACATGGAGCAGGACCAAACTTGAGTCAGAGGCCCAGACTGCAGAAGAATTAAATGCACCGCGCGTTCCAAATCTGCGCCGCACCGATACATCGATACACCGATATCCCCCCAGCCCCGGATATCGGCGTATCGGCGCCGCACCGATATCCCCCCAGCCCCGGATATCGGCGTATCGGCGCCGCGCCGATATCCCCCGGCCCCGGATATCGGCGTATCGGCGCCGCACCGATGTCCCCCGAGCCCCCAATATCGGCGTATCAGCGCAGCTTAGAAAAAACCCGCCACGCCGCCACGCTGAAAAACCATAGAAACATATTCTTTGAGGAAAAACATCTAATAAAAGGCAAGGAAAAGGAAAAGAAAAGGAACAATTAATAGGAATAGGAAAAAATAAAAACACATATGGTATTTTAATGTGGTTTAAAGAAAATATTTTTAAGACTTAAACACCATAAAAATATAGAATTTTATATAGTTTTATTTCATTTTTGAATTAACATTGAAGATTAGCTGGGGTGTTCCCCACCCAAGAAAAATCCAGCAAGAAGAATCATTGTGATTTCTGTGTTGTTTTTGTTGTTGTTGTTGTTGCAGGACCCCTGCTGGCAAGATTCACTCTTCGGCTAGAATCCTGCGTGGAGTTTGAGGGTACGTAACATCTCTCTATGCCCACCCACACAGGCAAGCACAGCTACTTTCCAAAGCTGCCCTCTGCCCATGTGATGCGTGCACCTTAAAGGGCTATGCACATCACCTTTCGCAGAGAGAACCCCAAAGAATGTGTCCGAGTGAACATCATCCAAACCATGATGCCCGAATTTACTATATATATATATATTATATAGTATATAGTTCACGAGAACTTATGGACATTTCCACTGGCCCCCCACAGGAGGTCCTTGAGTCAAGGTTGTAGCATGGTGGCTCTAGAGACCAGTGCGAGTCGCAGGGGCATGATGATGGACAGTTCCGCAATGTTGGCACAAATGGTTTATTTTGGTGGTTCCTTGGATTCGCGGTCCGATCTCAAGTGGTTTCGGAAAGCAATCCGTGCAAACAAAGCATTTCTTCGTTGGATAGATTCTTGCAGCGTCATGTCGGGGGTCACCTGGCTGGAAGCCCCCGCCCCAGCCCGCTACTATCCGGGTCTTCCAGGTCCAGGACAGCCCTGTTTCAGGTCCAGGTTTGGCCGCGACGCTCGGATGACCCGTCCGTGGACGTCCCTCAGCGGTCGCAGGCGGCAGACTTCATCATGGCCCAGCGGCCGCTGGAGGTCTCGAAAGCAGCGGCGGCTTGGACGTTGCCACGAGCCGGAGCGGTTTGGAGGGTGGCGTTGGAGTGGTCAAAAGCTCTGAAGGTGAGGAGAAAGCTAAAATTGCAGGGATGGCCAGGGATTTGGTTTTGAAATCAAGAGTTGATTCGGTGGTGATCCACTATATACTGTAGGTGTTGAAGACACCCTTCTTGCCCCCGACCGTGGATGGAAGCAACTCTGCACCACCCACAAGACTTCAAACACTGTAGAATCAATACCTTTAGCCGGGTGCTGTCACGGGCCAGGGTGCTGCCAAAGGAAAGGGGAACCTTTTTCTTTGGCTGGAGTCTATGGGAATTCTTCTGGTCGGAGGTCGAGACGCACATCGTCGTGTTTTTTGAAAATCAAACCGATCAACGGGGGGGATGGGTGGTCTGAGCACGTCGTCACCAACGATATACATATTTTCAATTTGAGCAAGCAAGCCAGTCTTTTTGGTTCGTTGCTATGTGTACAGAAGGCGACTTACTTTCGCTGTTCCTTGGTGCCCTGCTCTGAGCATCGTGGTGTTTTCCTTGCTCATCTTGAACTCAGTTCGTTGGTGATGCCATGCTCTGCCATTCGACCAAGGGAACCATGAGACGTTTAGGCGTAAAAATGAGTCGGTATGATGTGTGCATAGCTCAAGGCAACCCGGCAACCCTCATGCCTTTGCGAATTGCAGCTCCTGGCCCAGCTGATTTTCCCCAACTCTGCGACCCATGTGGCATGTGGTCGATGGTGCCTTCATGGGTTGCAGCTCTTGGGCGAAGCGAAGCGACCCAGACGTCGTCCGTTTCGTCCGTTGCAGCTCTTGGGTAACTGGAGAAGCCCAACTAAGCTGGTTCCGCGATGTTCCGGGAGGGTGGAAGCATTCCCGGTGATGTTTTTTGGGTCCTGTCTGTCGTTTTTCCCCAAAGCCTTCCGCCCCAACTCCGATCCACCGATGTGAGGCCAAGGACCTGGGCGACCAGCTGCATTTGGAGAGCTTGGCCGAGGACTTGCAGACCTTTGGCTCCGACCGAACAGGATCCACTCCGACCGAAGCGGTGTGTGAGACGGTGCCACCGGAGGATGACTCGAAAGGTGCGAAGAGGTGTCTGTTTTGCTTTGAAAAGGGATCGGTCTGATCGGGTCATAGGTCCTGTGTCGTGAGGTTAGCAATGGGCGAAACCATGGGATGCAAGCAATTGGGACGACTCTTGATCGTACCCCCACATGTCCGACGCGGAATGCCGGCGGCGACATGCTCGTGGATCGGATCGCCGGCGTGGTGTGAAGAGGTTTTGCAATACTGCCGGTGTGACCTGTGTCCACGGTGGCGTTTGACCCATCGAGAAAACGGGATTCGTTCGTGGATAGGAAGGCGAGTGTGGTAGAAGAGAGTTTTACAATACCAATCAAGAGTCTAGATCATTCCCATGTACCACCCGACGCCCACGCGACGCCGAAAATGGATGTTTTGAACCCCAACATCTAGAACCTTCCCTGGAGTAGAATATGAAGCAATCCAAGAACATCATGAGCCGTTTTCCCATTGGGTTTTTGGGATTTTACCCATAGTCTATGTACTCCAGGAGGGAGGTGTCAAATGAGCATCCTGCCGCTCTCTTCTGTCGCGGAAGGCTGAGGCCATTTACTCACCCAAGGCATCACCTGCAAATCGGACCTCTGAATCCATGGGCTCGGGGACCCCCATGTTTCCATGGTCATCTCATCGAGGTTTCAGAAAGTTGGTTGACTCCAGCGGCCCTGTCTTGTTTGCCGGAGTCCTTGCATACCCAACATTGCCACAGTGCAGGAATTTGAGTTCCCGGGAGCTAGACTCCTGATGTCTCACTGGATGGCACATTCTGCTGTCAGTGTGTACTTCAAGAGTCCTAAAACAGTGGCTTCCGGATCCTCAACAGGGCCACAACATATCTATTTAGATCAATCACCATCAAAGCAACTATTTTGGGTCAAGATCCCTGTGAACTGACACTCCAAAAAGGCCAGAACGAAAATCCACGTTTTCGGCCGTTCGATCGCCGCTCTTGGGCACCCCGACCGGAAGCGACGGCGCTGAAGCAGCGCCCCCCCCCGGCCCTGCCGTCCGTGCCTAAGGAAGTACGAGGGCGAGTGGACCCCGGAAGCACTCGAGGTCTACATCAAAGGCGGAATTCATGACGTCCCTTCTTTTTTTTCCCGGCGGTGTCGTTGTTTCGCTCTTTTTTCGCTCAAAAATGTGTAGCTGTTCTTTTCAAGTAAGTTGACCTCCCTCCCAACCCAGTTAAATGGCAAGTCGTTAAGATGGGCAATTGGTTAACTAATTCCAAATTTTAGTTAGTGCCTTATTGGGCTAATGAGTTCCATTTGCAGTTCACCCTTGGTCCATGAGACATGGACCATTCCGCGGTGGCGACCTCTTGCGCCGCCCTCCGCGGAGGCCTGGTGGTGGCCAAAGAGATGAAGCTGGGCGCCTTTGCCAAGCCCATCCGGGCGGCGCCGCTCGGCTGAGGAGTGGTGAATGGGACGGGTGGCTTTGGAATGGAGGCCTGCTGGGTCTGGGACTAGGCCAATTGATGGCTAGCTGTTGGGGGTGGATCTTTGGGAATGATACATGGTTTTACCATTTTTGGGCCATGTTTTTTGGAGATGTGCGGCGTTGACTCTGGGACCTGGCAATGCAGAGACCTTGGACACCTTGGAGATCGGTGAACGGAATCCCCAGGCCTCGTAGACCTGGAACACGTTGCCAAACGCCGATTCTCCCCGATGAACCAGCCGCCGATGAACCAAACTCTCAAGCAAACCCCTATCCGACGCCCTCACAACTCTTTCAAACACCCTATCCGACCCATGATCACCAAGCCAAAACAGGTCAATGAGATCGAACAAAGAAAAGATACACTCACCATCTGCCGCCTAAAAAGACCCATCAACTCAAAATATATATAGTATTCCCGATCCACAAATAGATCGTGGCGCGGTTTCCAACGCATCTTCTAAGTGTTGATCTTTGTTCATTTCCGTTTCGATCCCTTTGGGACCCCCAAGCCACTCGGACTGACCCAACGCCACTCCGCCGGCCTTTCAGGCTCACAGGCTCCACTGCTTCACCAGGCCTCTTCGAGGTGATCTGGGCCATCGGCCACCAGGAAGCGGTGGCGCGCTTGAGGCGAAGCAAGAAGACGACAGGGGTGGAGAAGCTGGAGAGGTACCGAAAAAAGACATGCCTTTAAAACCATGTTTATTTTAATGTCTAAGTATCATATGGTTTCGACTTCATTAAACATATTGACCTGGTTTGTTGGATCTACCACCTATGAATGAAATCTGGGACACCCTCCTCTCTCCCGCTTTTTTCATGGCTTTGACCCCTGCAGGGATGCGGCCGCCGGAAAGTTCAAGGCTAAGGGGTGGCGTTCTCGTCTCGGAGTCTTCTGGTGAAAAACGGGGGGCGTGGAACTTAGACGAGATTTGTTTAAGACAGTAGGTTGGAGGCCATTCATATTTAGGTTGGAGGCCTTCGCTAGTAGGTTGCGGAAGGAAGAAAAAACAGAAAGCTCCGGTGGGGAAGCCAGCGAAGACTTGATGGATTTCTGGAATGGATTGACTCCTTTGAGATACACAGATGGTTCAGTCAGTGTGGGGCATGGGGAAATTCGAAAAGGACTTGCATTCAGAGTTCGGAGTTCAGTGTTCAAAGGCCTGTTCAGGCAGCCATTTGGGATGATGCTGAGCTGAAGGAAAGACTGACGTCAAAACAGGTCTCCTGTCTCATTTGCAGTGTTGCACTTTGCCTTAAGAATCTAAGAAGGATGGCAGCAGTGCTTGGAACGCTTTGGACCTGTGCAACCCCCATGCAAATATGATACACATACATATAATTATGAGATGATATAATACAATATAATCTAGTAATGTAATATAACATAATATAATATACTATATATAATAAACAATATTATACTGATCACCTTCAAAGATGTAGCCTGGAGCGCTTTTCTCTATTTGGGTGACCTGCATCCCTTGGACCCAACATCCCTTGGACCATCCGCCACTCCACTCCGTTGACCTTCTTTGCGCCCACTGGAGAGGTGGCTGAGTGAGGGCCGCGGCCCGTTTCGACAGCCGGAGCAGATGACCGTTCCCAGCCTTAGACATGTTCAACATCAGCATGGCAATACATGCGTGGAGCAGTTTCTGAGGGGCAAACCTCTCCCAAATAAGATGACGGGCAGGGAGAATTGGCCTGGCAGGCAGGACCCATCAATAGATGCATTCTTTTTCTGTTGAGCGGTATGTTAGCATTGTTTTTTCCTTTATAACGTGCCATTTGGACTTAGGATGTCCTATAGAGCTTGAGCGGAGGGCACGGCAAGCCAGAGTCTTGGAGGATGAAGTTGGAGATGTTCCTTGCAGCTTGCATGATGGTTTCATTCGGAGGAAAAGAGGTTTAGATCCCAATCCACTTTCTTTCCGTAGTTTCGTGCTCTGATAAAGCCCCAATCTGTGGGAAAATGTGGGTAGATCTTCCATCTTGCCACTGCTTAAGCACATGTATCACGGCTGGGCCCATTGAGTCTGCCGTGCTCCGACCGGTCATCACAAGCCTCCGCGGCGTTCACCGCGCCAACGCGCGCCCCTCTTTGGACAGGAAAAGGAGCCGAACGACGCCGGGTCGCGGGAGGTGTCCCGCGGGCCGTCGCGGGCCAGTGGCGGTCGACGGTGTCCTTTCTCGTCGGCGCTGAGGCCGGCATCTCGTCCGACATCTCGTGCCGCGGTTGGAGCGAGCGGGGTTGGAACGGCGAGCGGGTTTGGGTGGAGGATGCAATCGTGCTGCGGTGGTAGAACCGTATAGGGTGGAGGCTTGCCGTTGATTCGGACACCTGTTACCTAACTATAGTGGTTTGTAGGGAACTGGCGGAGGTTGACACCTTGAAAGACCCTTTCATGAGTCAGCAATCCCCTGAGTAGAGGGCTTTAGGGTCGGTATAGACTGGTATATGGCATATGAATGCATTGTATGATCTCAATGCTTGTGGACGATTTCTATCCACCTTGAGGTACTACCTGAACTCGCACCATGTGGACTTCCACGTGCGCCCACCGTTCTGGCTGGGGTGTCAGTTGGGTCCTTCCTTTCTTCGAGTCCAGGGAAGGATGGAGCTCAAGAGCGATACGAATTGACTAGATGGGAAGATGAGGATGAAGCCGATGACCAGATGGGAAGAGTTTTTGATTAGACATGGCAGAAGTCCTTATGAACCTTGGAGACTTGTTGGTTTCGAATGGTTGATTGGACGACTTGGATGGGCTCCATTGGGCATGGCCCACGGCCTGGTGGCGTTCCGGATGGCCAGAGACATCCATGCGAGGTATCGGGCCCGAGATCGGAAGAGCATTTGCATGGAAGTGGATGGCTCCAGTTTCTGTTTTATTTTTTCAATGAGGAGAATGAGGAGAAGCTCCAGTGGATGGCATGTCAGACATATAGTTTTTATTAACATATTAACTATATTAACGATTGTTAATGGCATTTTGTTTTTACTATATGTTTTACTCTTCTCTCTTCTCCAGGGAGCCATTCGGACCGACTTCCGGCTCGTGGCTCCGGCTCTTTCGGTGGTATGCGACTCCGTCTGACTGAGGTCACGTAACGGGCCCCGTATTCACAACGGTCACGGACTCCAAAGAGGTCAACTGAAAGGTGGATGATGGATTCTTTTTGGGAAAGGTCCTGGGATTCCAAGATGCTCTTTCTACTGGATGGCCAACTGCTGTAGAAAAACAAACTGAATCAGATCCTTCAGGGCCTTGCTGGTCCCATGACGATTCCGGGCCGGCCTTTGGCAGCAACACTTGGTGAACCTGGAGTTTCTAGCTGGTGCTCCAGCTCTTTCTGGAACTAGGCTGGATGAAACCGCCTCGCTTCCAGCGCTTCGATGCAAGGCCTTCCCTCCACCCGTCCGCGTAGGCCTACCGTCCGAGCTCAGCTCCGCGCCAGGTTTGGGCCATGCAGGGCATCGCCAAACCCGTCAGCGTCTACGCCACCGCGCTCCTTGGGCACAGAGCGGCCACGGGGGGCGCCGGAGCGACTGGGGCCACGAGGGGGAGAGGTCCGACATCGGCCGGCACGCCGAGTCTCGGCATGTGAGCTGTAAGCATGCGTTCACTCACTTAAGGATAGACTCTTGATCAATCAAAGCCATCCATTTGGATTGAAACAGCTCTTTTTATGTTATTGTTATTGTTTTTAAACATGAATCAACAGTCTACATGAGGTCTTGTGACCACCCTTGTGGCATTTGTGGGGTCTGATCGGATCCTTTTAAACGGACACTCTGAGATTCCGTGTTTCAATGATCACTCAGACTGGAGTTCTCAGATGAGGTTCACACAATGACCGGATGCAGATTCAGGTGAAATACGCTGGTGTTCAGCGGCTGATTCTTTCTCCCAGACCATCCCAGACCTCGACTCTACCTAAACAGAGGGCTCCCTTGTTCTTGTTCTAGTGCTTCAATCATTTGCTAATAATCAATAGGATGCTTTTTGGTGAGAATTTAGGGACCCGTTCTTGTTCTGTTGTAGAACCAACAGGCAAGTGCCAGAAAAACGCTGGCTTGTCGGGGACACAGGCCCGGGACCTCCACGGGACCTCCACGGTCCGCCGAACACACGGAGAGCTCCGCCGCCGAACAGCGAGACGCCGCTGTGCCGTGCTGTCGGTGCACCAAACGGCGAGGTCCACGGGCGTGGCGGAGAAGATCCTGGGCCGGAGCTGCGAGGCGCGGGTAGCGGCGCGGCGCGGCGCGGCGCGGGTTGCGGGTTGCGGAAGATGGCTTGAAGTCCACAGCAAGGGGGGCGAGAGCGAGATCAAGTGGGTGGTGCTTGTAACCTTTTAACTCTTGGGAGGTGGCTTTTTCGTGAAGTTGAAGTTGAAGAACAGTGACAGTCTTCCAAAAGAGTGCAATCCAGTCGTCCGCAAGTGTCTTCCTTCCAGAGATGGACATGTTTTGGTCCCGAGAAGATGTACTGACCAAATTATAAGGGTTTCTCACTCACACGTCAGGGTGGATCATGTGGCATTCTGGCAAGATGATTGACCAAACCACCATTACCTTGTGGCACCCCTTATGGTTTCACACTTCCCACCAACTCCGACCTTCTGGTCGCCGCAACTCATGGCCTCGTTTCTGGAGGATACCATCACCTTGACGGTGACGTGGAAAAATAGCACTGGGCAGGGGTGCTCAGTACCCAGCCTCTGCTGATCTACTGTTGATGGAAGCCGACCTGCTCTACCCGCGTTAAAACAGCAACTCCGTGCATAGTGGGACATCCAGAATATCCATGAAATTCGAGCACTTTCTTCAGCGGCAGGGACTTGAGGGGCACCGATGGACCATCGGGCACTTCGAGGATTTGCTGGATTTTGACGCTTTCCTCGACTGAACTGGAGTCCCCTCAGGGTCATTGAACTTTATTTTCCTTTGGTGAATCTGGGAGTCCTGTTGCAGATCAGCCCCTCTGTTTGTATGTATTTGTTGATTTGGAGGGTGCCCCGACTGAACAGTGTCCTTTTGGCTTTATCTGGTTGAGAAGCACACACGCAGCCATTGGCATTGGTCAGACATCTTAGAGGCTATGTGGGGGTAAAGAAGCTCGTGGTTTGGTAAGAACCTGTTCAGGCAGGCAGGAAAGCATCAAGACTACATCATCCCCTCGCCGACCTCCCCGGGCCGAGCCCGTCGCAGTCCCCCGTGGCGTCCTCGGGGCCGACGACGGTACCCCCACCGTTGTCCCCAAGGACGAGCAAGGGGGGGGCTCCATCTAAACCCCACAAGGGGTGGTAAAGGGGTGTCACCCCTGTTGCCCCCTTCCCTTTCCCCCAAGGATGGTGAGGTTCCTCCGCAAAACCCGTAGCTTCGGCTCCTTGGGTCGATCCCCAGCACACCGCCACGTCCGACTCCGTGGGCTCCCCAGGTCTTCGGGACATGCCACCTACACGTCCTCTTGGACCGCCAGCAAGGCGCAAATCCGTCTGGTCTGGGTTGCTACGAGCCTCGGAACAGGCCGAAGCCGAAGCTACGCCTGAAGCGGTGCGAGGCGGAAGCCCCCGCAAGGCTTTCGCTGAACCCGTTGAAGGAGGGTTGAGGAACCGGTTTCGGACTGATGTAAAGACAAAAACACCAACCAACACCAACCAACCACATTTTCTTATTTCTTTTTGAACTCTTTGCTTTTTCTTAGGTTGGTTTGAAAGAACCATCCCACCTCATCCCCACATCATCACCGGAGAGAGTGTGATTGGACTTCTCTGCGCAGAAAACCTGGCCGAGCTAGCGAAACCCATTCCGTATGCGAAACCCATTCCTTGGATGGTTATGAAAGGGTGGACTAATCTCCGCCCCTTTTTCATTTAATGCTGGTGGGTTGGGAATGAAATTGACTATATAACAGGGCAGACGTTTGGGCATTCCACTCAGCGACGGTGGCAGACATGAAGAGCCCCTGCGTCAATGACCAGCCCTACTTCTTCAGAGAAGTTCCACACTTCTTTCCTCACTCAAGCAGATCGGTCCTTCTTCAAGATCTAAGCTTACCACGCCATGCTCCTTGCTCTTCAGAGACTTGCCAGATCCATCCATCCCCACCCCTCCAGTCTGTCGACGTTACCCACTCCCGGATTACCGTCCGTCGCGCGTGAACCGAGCGCGTACCGTGAAGCGCGGGAGAGCGCACCGTACCGCGGCCAGTCCGACGTGCACTCACAGCAGCGGTTCTTCTGTCAGATGGAGCGGGCGGAAGTGACTGTCGACCAGGTCAGGGAGCGACTCCGGATGTCGAGTCGAGTCGACCCGAAGCCGAAGCGCTTAGGACCTGCACGGGCGGCTGGTACCCTTCGTTTTTGTTGGACTCAACGGTAGCTCTTTGTTTGGCTGGGTACCGGTAGCACGGCTGGTACCTACATAAAACTAACAGGTTATGTTCTGTTGGGTCTATGAGTTTTGTGTTTTTGTGGTCGAAACTGAGCCACCCCAAGCCACGACGTTGTAGCGACAGACTGCTGAGCCGATGTTTGAGCAACACAGAGCAAAGATGTCGGACCAAGTGATCCACACTTCCGGAGATGTCATTTTCCTGGCCTTGGTAGTGCCC